CCAGCCTGACTCCAGGGGAGGGAGGTGGACCCCGTCCTGTCCTCACGCACATGCTGCTCCTCGACGCCTTCCCCACCACCTGTTTTAGAAATCCTTGTCCCTAGCAGTTAGCCAGCAAACTAAATCTGTGTTGCTGGCTGTGTTTTTCTGCTGAACATTAGATATATGACAGTTAAAATTTTCTTCAAGAATCACCTTGAATGGTCTCATGTACCGCACTTTAGGAAGCCCCTTCACTTGCGTAGGTGGAGGAGTGTTGGGTCACCATGTTTCCCACGTGGGTGCTGCTCCCTTGTGGGTGCTCCTGTCACCGGTGGCTCCTGGTCCTTGGAGGGAGCAGGGCCCTGGCTGACGCCGTCGTGGTCTGCTTGTGTCTGCCCGGCAGGTATGGACGAGAAGGGCGATCCGAGCGGGGAGGATGCGCCCAGGGCCGTCAAGCCCACCAGCAAAGAGTTCAGGAAGACGTGGGGGTTCCGGAGAACCACCATCGCCAAGCGCGAGGGCGTGGGGGAGGTGGAGTTGGACTCCCTGGAGCCGCAGCCGCAGCAGCAGAGCCTCTCCCTGCGGCGCAGCGGGCGGCAGCCAAAGCGGACGGAGCGGGTGGAGGAGTTCCTCACCACTGTCCGCCGCAGAGGCAGGAGGAGCGCCCCTGTCTCCCTGGAGGACCCCGGCGAGCCCACTTCGTGCCCCGTCACAGACGCCGAAACCGCCTCTGAAGGGAGCGTGGAGAGCGCCTCCGATGTGAAGAGCGGGCCCAAGGCCAGCTCTGCGGGCGCCAGGGGCCGCCCGGCCCCTGCAAAGGCCAGAGGGGGCGGCGGTGAGGACGACACCTCTGACAGCGACAGCGACGGCTTGACCTTGAAGGAGCTTCAGAACCGGCTGCGGAGGAAGCGAGCGCAGGAGCCAGCCGACGGGCCCGCCAAGGGCCCGCAGAGCAGGCTGAGGAAGAAGCGCCGGGGCGACGAGCCTCCTGAGTCTGTGGACGGCCAGGCGGGCGGCCCCGTGGAGGGCTCACTGCCTGGCCAGCAGGAGCCCGAGGCTGAGCAGGGGGCCACGCCCCAGGTGGCAAGAGAGGCCAGGGAGAGCCGGCCAGAGGGGAGGGCGGCCCCGGGGCTTAAGGACGAAGAGGCTGGGGACGTGGTCAGACCCAAGCCCGAGTGTGAGGGCTACGACCCCAGTGCCCTGTACTGCATCTGCCGGCAGCCCCACAACAACAGGTGGGTTGAGGTGTGGCCCCGGGGCTGGGTGCCCGAGCTGTCCAGAAAGGCCAGGCCTTGGACACCTGAGATTTGCTACTGTTGGAATGTAAAGAGCCCTTGGTTGGCCTGGAGGAGCCACTTGTTCAGTTTAAATAGACAAACCAGTCCTTGTCCAAGAAGCAGCAAGTGGAGCGGGTGGGGACCGTCCAGTGGTGGCAGGTGGCCTTGGGTGTCTGTGCCTCACTCACACCAGCCATGTGCAGCCAGAGGTCAGCATGCCGGGCGGTGTGGTCTGGGAGAGCTCTTTGGGTTAACACTCTGAGCTGTCCTGGACGGTGGCATGAATGTAGGGGCAGCTCAGAGTCTGGCTTTGACTGGGTGCCCGGAGTGTTTGGTGACTAGTTTTAGTTCGTCAGGAGAGTGGTGGTAAAGGCATTGTTGCCATTTCATGGGCAAGCACTGTGGTGTTCAGGGCAGGACGCCCCCCACAAAGATGATTGAAGCAAATTTAGTTGAATGTTAGTAAAGTCAAGAAAAGGCCACGTGGATGTTGTGTGTGTTTGCACATTTTTCATAATAGAATGTTGAAACCCATTTGATTTGTTTCTCATTTTCTGTTCCTAATATTTTATAATCTCAGGTTTATGATTTGCTGTGACCGATGCGAAGAATGGTTTCATGGCGACTGTGTGGGCATTTCTGAGGCTCGAGGGAGGCTCTTGGAGAGGAATGGGGAAGACTATATCTGCCCAAATTGCACCATCCTGCAGGTGCAGGACGAGAACAGCTCAGAGACTGCAGACCCGCAGGACGTGCGGGTGAGAGCTGCTGATGCTGACGGCACCGACTTTACCAGTATAGGAACCATAGAGCAGAAATCGAGTGAAGACCAAGGAATAAAGGGCAGAATTGAGAAAGCTGCGAACCCAAGTGGCAAGAAAAAACTCAAGATATTCCAGCCCGTAAGTACCTGTCTCTTGAGGTCAGCGGTGGGGTCACCTTTGAGATCTCAGACTGCGGTTGACAGAACCGTCCAGACCAGCAGTTGTTTCTTCTGAGATGAGTTGATCTCCCTGGAGCGGCGCCGTGCGAGGCTGGGCCCAGGGCAGGGCAGTGGCCTCCCCATGGGCTCCGTGCCCCTGTGTGATGCCGGCACTGCCGTTTCTTTTTTTCTTTTTTCTTTTTTTTTTTTAGTTATATCTTCCTTCTGTGCTGTTTTTACTGGCTGAACGTTTTCCTTAAATGGACTCACTTTTAAAAACTTTATTAAGTGTTCTTGTGAATGGGATCTTGAGTTTAAAGTTCGTATGTTAAGTAAGGAAATTATTTTTCATCACCAAAGAATGTGTGCGCCTGAACCACCTGCCACCACCCTGAGCAAGCCGGTGGTCTTCCACCCACCCCGCCTTCCTGGCTCGCCTCCATCCTCCGAGCGGTGGCGCTTCGAGGGCGCCCTCTGCTGAGGGGACACCCTTGCGTGCTCCCTGGCGCCCGCCAGTGCTTGCGCGGGCTCTGTGCTCCCTCCCCGGCTCTGTTTACCTCTGTCTCCTGTCGGCTGGTTTCTAGGCCCCTTCCCGTCCGTGGTTCTTTCTCGCGGTTTGCATGCATCTTGCTCTCCCGGTCGGCCTGCCCAGAGCATGTTTTCGCTCCAGGCCTCTGGTGGGGGCACCCCGCCGCCCGTCCGTCAGCAGGTGTTGGGCACACAGGAGGCTCTGAGGTGGGCTTGTTGGCACCCCTGCCATAACCCTGTGTCCTGTGTCGGCCTCGAGGGCTGGACCGTGTAAATTGTACCATACTGCCATGGAAGTGTGACAGTAAATGGTAGTTTTTTTTGATTAATGGAAATTGAATTAGTGGGGAAAGTCTTCCTATTGCTGGTGTGTTTGAGACTATGTAGCTTAAATATTTTTGAGTAAAACTTGGATTCTTTGGAGGAAAGACAGTTAAGTACCTCCCTTGAGAAGTAAGACTTGGCTCCAGTACGTCCGAGGGGTCTGTGCTTGCACATGTGTCGTGAGCGTCAGAACGTGCTTCCGTCGTAAACAGCAGCGGCTGCACTCGGTCCTTGCAGTGCCCTCCATCCCTGCCACGGCGTGACAGGGTGCCACAGACTTAGCAGCTTAAAACAAAGTCATGAGCTGCTTTCTGTGGGTCAGAAACCTGGGCCTGGCTTAGCAAGGCCCTCTGCTCTGGGTCTCTCGGGCTGCACACTGGGGGTAGGTGGGGGCTGGGGAAAGAGCCACTTTCCAAAGCTCTCACGTGATTTAGCAAATACCTATGTCCTGTGTGATGTTCGTGGCGCACATGGCTACAAAGTTACCTTTTTCTGAGACAGATTGAGTTGGCCATCCTGGATGCTGTCTGGCAGTCTTGCCCTCAGTGCCCTGCCACGGCCCTCTCCCAGCCAGGCCCTCTCAAGGGCTTTCATTGGATTAAATCAGACCCTTTGAGCCTCCTGGGAATCCTTCTATTTGGGACCTTAATTACATGTGCAAAATCCCTGCCCCTGTGCCCAATGATGGAACCTTAATTGTGGGTGTGAAATCCCATTCTATTCAGAGGTGAGTCCTGAAGTCCCCTGAGACCTCTGCCCTCCACGCCTGACGTGAGGGCCGCATACGGCAGGGGTTGGGGGGAGGCGGGCTGTGTGCTCTGGATGACCAGAGGCGCTCCTTTACTCATGGTCGTCCACCGTTAAGAAGCGGTCTCAGTACTGTGAGGCGTGGTTTTACAAAGCGCCATGCCTGCTGAAGGTGGAAGTAGGTTGTTTGAAGTCCTGTTTTTTTCCTGCAGGTGGTAGAGGCTCCTGGCGCCTCCAGGTGCATCGGGCCTGGTTGCTCTAGCGTGGCGCAGCCCGACTCAGTTTACTGCAGCAATGACTGCATCCTGAAGCATGCTGCCGCCACCATGAGGTTTCTGAGTGCGGGGAAAGAGCAGAAGCCGAAGCCTAGAGAGAAAGCCAAGGCAAAGCCCGAGAAGCTCGTTCTTCAGAAATGCAGCGCTCAGGTAAGCTGAGCAAGACCAGCCATCCGAGGAGGGAGCTGGGGGCGCCACAGACTGGGCTGGCACAGCGGGCGCGGCGGCCCGGGTGTGTGCTGTGCTGCCACCCGTGCCCTGGCCCCCACCGCCTCCAGTTTTCTGTCAGAATTACAAAGAAGCGTCTGTTCCAGTGTTGCTCTGGCCAGGGCTTCATCGGCATAAACTCAGGAGCTGGCTGCTGCGCAGAAGCAGCTTCTCATCCACAGGCCAGCCTTCTTGGGAGAAGCGCTGGCAGCTGTTGTGTGGAAACACAGGGCAGCAGGGGCAGGGGTGGGATCTCTGGCGGGGCCCCGTGCTCTGCCCCCTCTGAGACTTAGCCTCGGCCTCGGCCCCCTGCACTGCTTGTGCTTTTGGAAGAGCTGGGATGTTTTCAAGATCACAGGCCCTTGCTGACTCGAGTTTTGTCTCAGTTTGATGTGGCTGTGTCACGGCCTCACATCAAAGCGTAACTACTGCTTTTCTGGGAGTTTTTTTGATGCTTAAAATGCTTATTTAGGATTAGGGGGCTTACTCTTCAAGGCTGAGAAGTTTGAATCATGGAACTCCCGAAGAAGCAGTTGTTGCTTCCATGGTTAAGGGGTGCCGGCACGAGTGCGGGGGAATTAGGGGACGGGCTCGGAGCTGTCCTTGGTGCCCCTGGTGTGTGTGTCTGCCTGCCTGCCTGCCTGCCTGCCTGCCTGTCTGCCTGTCTCCACTGGCCCTTGCGTTCGTTGTCGTCTTCTCGCGTGGAGGCCTGCCTGTACCGCAGGATCGTGCGCTGTGCTGTCACGTCTCTCTGACGCTGAAGTCCTGGGCATGATGTGGGAGGTGGGCCAGGCCCTCGCGCTGAGCGGATGCCGTGCACGCACAAGCTCAGGGCGCTGTGGGGCTTGACTGGACACCGGGAATAGGGCATGGCCCGACTGTGATTGGAAAGTGAAATGTAGGAAGGTAATTCTGACCTCATTAATGATTGGGGTTTTACTGATTATCCAGGCAGGCATTAAAATCTCTTCTGTGCACAAGAGGCCAGCCGCAGACAAGAAGGAAGACACGTTGAAGAAGGCGGTGGCCGCCCCTCCCAGGAGTGAGGGCCTTACCCAGGAGGCCACTTGCGAGAGCAGCAGCACACCGTCCTGGGCGAGTGACCACAATTACAATGCAGTAAAGCCAGAAAGGACTGCTGCCCCCTGGCCGCCTCTGTTGTGTAAATGTATGTATCACCCAGGGGGAGCTCTGGACCCTTCCCGGGCTGTCTGGACAGCCATCCGCTCAGGCCTGTCCAGAGCTGGGAGTTGTAGCTGTGTTTCGTGCTGCCCTTCCAAAGATGGACGCGCACGCCTGACCCAAGCCACCTCAGAGCCCCGTGTGCCCGCCCTTAGTCTGTCGGGACTTCTGTCTGTTTTCCAAACAGCTGTACCAGCCTCATTGCTGAATGTTTCACCTCTGAAAGTTGCTGTCTTTAATCTCTTTTTTATTCTTAGGCTCTGGTAAGTATTCGCGTGACCTCACAGTGCCTGGTTGAGCAGGCGCACTGCCCAGCACGAGCGCCCGTCGTCCAGACACGCGCTGTGGGCCCAGCCTTGGAGCCGCACGAGTGCCCGCGAGCCTCGCTTCTCTGTCGTGGGGGCTCTCACACAGTAGTGCTGTGTCTCATGTTCCACTGAAGTATGATTCTCAGGAGTTAAGCTGCTTTCGGCCAGACAGGGATTTTCTTTTCATGTCCAATTCACACACCACACACCACATAGACACACAAGCCAGTTTGAACGGCCGTTGACCGCCGCTTCATAAGCACGAAGGTAAGTGAGCACGGTGTCTCTCCACTCTGCAGCACCCAGACGGGGGACCCCGTGTCCCGGCTCCACACTGGAGTGTGGCCCTGTTGGGTCCCCTCACTCCAGATTGCAGGTGAGCAGGATCCAGATAATTCAGAGAGAACTTTGAGAGCCTAGATGAGGTTATGCAACTTGAATTTTTCCTCTTTGTTCTTGTTTCTCAGCTTCATTTGCCAAAATTGAATTTTGGGAATTTAAATTGACCCATAACCCACATCTTATTATTTTTATTCAGTTTTTTTTGTGCTATGTTTTATACTCTTGTGACTTTTTAAAAAGCACCACAAAGTAGCCCTAAATCTCAAAATTACAGAGGTGGGCTGCCTTCTTTCAGCCAGCTTTTTAAGCAGTCCCCTGAGGGAAGCCTCATGGGTAATGGTAAATCCAGAGTGGTTAGAAAAATGCGTAACTAAATACTCATTCTAAGAATGTAGTGGCCCAAGACCCAAGAAAAGGAGTTGCAAATAATTTGCAAAGCATTACTGCATATATATATATATGTTTTTAATTTTGGATTTTAGGAGTGAACTCTAAGTACAGAATTAAGCAATTGCTGTGTTAGAATGAGTCTTGATACACTTAGGTTTGAGCTAAGAACTGCGTGCTAACGACATGTCTCAAATTTCCATCGAATTGCAGCACCTCTCCATTTTAGCTAACGGGGGCTATGAACAGGCCTGAAAATGGGCATCACCCAGCTGTGCGCAGGTGGGGAGCAGTCACTTTGGAAGATTGTGCAGAAGTGCTCTAAATTGGTGATAGGCACGTGTCAGAATAAAAGGACAACTGGGGTATAGCCACAGCGCCCTGAGCAACTGATCTCAGCTCAGTTATCCTCCATCCCTGTCGACCGGACCTGGGAACCTGCCCAGAGAGCCCCAGGGTGGGGTTAGTCTAGGTGCACTGGGCTGGCGCGTGATACAGGGGGAAGGTTGGGGCTGTGCTCACAGGCTGGCTTTCCCTCCTCTCCCCTGCCCCTCTTCTCTGCAGTCAGCTCCTCACTGAAGCTGGGGATGGATCTGTTGATGGGAAGTTGGGACAAATTAATGACTGCCCTTCCCAGCACGGTCACCGCTCAGAAGTAAATGAGTGGATAGCCACAATTCATAGTGTACGTCAGGAACATATTTTTGAGCTAGTTGCTTCTGATCATTTTTTGTTATCCCAGAAATGTCATCTTCCCAAAAGATGATTGGGAGGAGAGTAAAGGTCACTGGTAAAGCGCCGACTGCAGCCTTGGTGAGTAGCAGTGCCTCTCTCTCTGCCCCAAGCCGTCACCTCGCAGGTGCAGGGGCCCCTCCCGACAGGCCAGTGGGAGGGGGCACTCTGCGCACACTTGGCAGAGCCCTGCATCCCCACCAGGACCCCTGGCTGCGGAGCATAACGTGGGGGGGCAGGGATGAGATCTGGGGTGTAGGTCATGCTGGGGACGGTTCTCAGGAGGAGACGCTCTCTGCATTGACCTGGGTCCAGTCAGGCGTTGGATCCTTGGGCAGCCAGCTCCCTGCTCCAGGAGGTGCTCTGGACCTTGCTCCTCCCAGGCCTGGCACTGGCCTTGGGTTGCAGGAAGGGGAGGGGCTGCTTTTCAGTGACCATGGCAGGCAAGACCTTGCTATGCATGGAAGCTCTTCCCTGCTTTTCCCATGAAAGTGTCAACTCCTTTGTGTTCCCGGGGTGAGGGGTTAACTTACACTTGTTCTCTGGTGAGTTTTTAAAAATTGTTTTTGACAATTTCTGTATAGTTTCTTTAACCTGTAATTGTTTTATTTATTTCTCTTCACAGTATGTTTGTGTTTTTACAGTCTTACTCCTTATTCTTCATTTCACTGTTTCTTTCTCATTACTGTCAAGGCATAAAGAGGGCTGAAAATGTTTTTCTAAATTGTCCCTGGTTTATTAGAATTCAGAAGTGAAATTCTGAGTCAGGCACAGCTACTAGTATTTGGACTCCCTAAATGACTCATAAGTGACTTAAAACACTGGATTTTGACTGGAAAATGAGACTTCTACAGTTTCATCTAGTTTTGAGAATTAAAATGGAAACCCTGACAGAACTGTACACCCAAATCCAGCAATGTTTTGAGCATCTTACCCAGATAAAAGCATTTCCCAGTGGCTCGTGTGTGTGCCACACAGACTGGTCCCCATGCCATGTGAAGCAGGTCCCGGGGCACGGGTTCCATGGGGACAGCTGGTGTGGGCTCCAGGAGCACATTCCACAGGCCGTCACGGGAGGAGACAAGTCTCCTAGAGTCACGAGGGGTTGTGAGGGACGTTGGAGGGGAAGGGCACAGCTTGGGGGAGTTGCACTTTATCAGTCGTGTGAGCCATTTTTATCTGCTCTTCCTGAATTGTCAGTGGCAAAAAAAATGTGGGAGACAAAGCAGCCTTTGTACATCTGAACCGGTTTCCTCCCCCCAGTTGGAGGGAAGACCAGAACTTGTCCCGGTAAAGGATTCACCGTGACAGCTGACTTTACTTTTACCCACGTGGTTGCAGTTCCCTTGGTTGTCACTGGTGTTCTTTGATATTTTTAAGTGTTTACTTTCTACACTTTAAAAAAGAATATCCAGCTGTTGAGTAAATGAGGGCAGGAAAGGCTTCACATGTACATGCACTTTAACCTCCTAACGCAGCCCTGCAGCCACTGCGGGGGGGTGGGGCTAGAGGTCCCCACAGCACTGGTCCTGCTCGCCTCCTGCCGCTCTGTGCTTTCGTGCAGCCTGTGGGGCTCCGCACCTGCTGTAGCGGGGCTTACGGAGAGTCCCCGAGGCGGTGTTGGGCCCAGGGGCCCCTCTGAAGACGCTGCTGTGCACCCCCCACACGGCTCCCGAGCTCCGGGGGTGTGCGAAGTTGCGAGGGGACAGTCTTGCCTGTGTGTGCTGCAGGTCACCACGCACATAGTTCTATTCTTAGCTTCTGAAAATTAAAGAAGTAGACGTAGAAGATCGATAAGACATTTTACACTTTGACTCATGTAAGTGAAGGCTGGGCGACTTGCATCGCCGCACACTCGGAGGCGGCCAGCACGGAGCGCACACAGGTAACTGCCGCGTAGCCCGCCGGGCCCCAGGCTGCTGCCAGCCGCAGGCCCCTCTGCTGAGCCTGGCCCTTTGGGACTGCGGCCTGGGGGGGTCGTAAACGAAATCTTAACACACCCTCGCCCCATCATGTTGCTTGAAGTAGACAATTCGGGCACAAATAACAGTTAAAATGTAGCCTCATCAAACTGGTGAGGCTGCCTGTTGACAGGTCTCAAGAGATCTCTCCTCCCGAAGGAGTCTGGCCTGGTCCCCGTGGTCCCAGTAGCCTAGACAGGAAGGGCGAAATGCCTGCCTCCCTGTGTGGCCCCCATCCTGTCCTGCTGCGTTCTCGGGCTCACGTGGAAGGATGGCTTGACCATTTCATGTATTACCAATCCAACATAAATCAGGTTTGGGGTTAACTTTCAAAATATTGTATGTCACACTATTAAAACTAGGAAGGGTAATTTGCCTCCAGGTGTGTACTTGCTTTTTGCAAGTTTATTATGGACAGTTCTCTGCCCCTCTCTAAAAAGGTGTAGGTCACTCAAATACTGGACACCAGTAAGAAGAAATCAGTCTTGAAAAACTTGTAGCCCCAAAGCAGGACAGTCTGCTGTGGACCTACATAAAGCCCCCCAGTGCTGAAGAGCAGCCCGGGCCGCCCCCAGTCTCGTTTGGGGAGTGCGTGTGTTTTCTGATGTGAAAGCAAGCAGTACTTTACTTCTAGAAGAATGATTGACTTCGGGATACTTAAGCAAAGGCACAAGAGCAAAATGGTTTTCTCTTGCCACTTGATTTTTCACCCTGAGAAAAATCTTGACAGTGAAGGAGCAGCTGAAATGGGGAGCTTCACTCTGCCCTTGTCCCGCTGAGCTGAAAAAGGCTGATGTCACAGCAGCACCCCCAGCTACTCCACGTGCGTCTTCTGAGCCCTCAGTCCCCACGACACTGTCCTTGCCACAGTAGCTGCCTGGTCTTAGCGCCGAGTGGGTTGGGGACCCAGTGGCAGTGGGGTGGCTCCAGAGAGGGTGACCCATGGGGCCACTCTGACCGGCGACCTGCAGGATGCTTCCCTGCACCCCGTGGAGGGCTCGCCGCCTCTCCAGGGGCTCACTGTGACTTCTAGCTTCAACAGCTGATCGTTCTTAAGCAGTGGGCCCACCCCAGGTGTCAGTGTGACAGAAAGCTGCCTGCCTGGGCATTTTGGGAGTGAACTGGACAGGACGAGAGGCAAAGCAGTCTGCAGTCACTCGGTTTCTCACCAGCCCCCGTGAGGAGCCATCTGCATGGACCATCTTGGCAGGGGCAGCATGGTGCTGGGCGGGCTGCTCATCCTGGGGTGACTTCCCGTGGGCCGAGGGCTGCACAGCTGCTGTCTTCCCTGAGCATCATGGCCCCCGTCCCGTGTCCTCCCGTCTCCGCTTAGGCCCGCCAGTGCCACCCAGTGGTCGGCAATGCCCCAGCGCCACGGCTCCTTGCAGCATGACAGGGCCCCGAGCTTCATGCTTACTGGGAAATTGGCCAATTAGAGTGTTGCTGGTCCCTGAGCACACCAGCCAGCTCAGTGCTCCACCAGGCTTCACCGCAGCCCGACAGACTGCCAGACTCAGCAGAAAAGCTCCTTCTGTGGCGGTGGTCTGGTCCTCTGGAGCCCCAGGACAACTCTGGGCCTGGAACTCAGGCACCTCTTCCTCCTCACAAGTAGGCCCCCAGGATGCAGACACTGAAGGAGGCTGTGCCACCGGAGGGGCAGATTGGTACCCACTCCCAAAAGCAGTCAGCGTCCAGCCCGGTGGGCAGGAGCAGGTGGGAGACCACCATGCAGTTCCTGGGCTCCATGTGTGCTGCAGCTTAGGGGTTGCTGACCAGCGAGGGGTTCGGCATCCCTGGGGGAGTCTGCTATACCCTGAAGCCACTCGAACGTGCTGGCCTGCTGCTTCCCTAGGACCGTTTTTTTCTGGTTGGTTAGTTATCCCTTGCTCTTCTGTGAGTTTATAC